GAACACGGGAGGCGGTGGGGCTGTGGCCGTCACGGGGCGGGTGGCTCTCCCTCGTCCCCCACACTGCTGTGGGCACCGACCCCCCACCGCAGCTCACCCCGTGCGGTGGCTCCAGCCCGACTGCCCCTCGCAGCCAGGGCTACCGCTGCCCCAAGCACGTCGCAGTGCCAGCACGGGAGGAGGCAGCCCCAGCGCCAGGGACGTGTTTCCTGCGAACAGCGGCAGCTTGGGCTGCAGCTCCTCAAGTCCCTCCTTCGCCCAAGCTGGGGAGGGATTCTCCAGCTGGCATGAGCACAGCACACGTGGGAAGAGGGAGGAGAAGCCCGCAGGTCTCCGTGCCTGCTCCTGTTTCACTGTCCCTCTTCAGCACGTTTCACCAGCAGCCTGGTGGCCCGTGTACAGGAAGGAGCTGCATTCAGCATGGCTAGAACCAGCCTCCAAGGACAGAAGCAAAGAATGGTGTGGGGGTACAGCCAGGGGGCTGAGCTCCATCCCACAAAGCTGCTGAAGGGGCAGGAGGGCTGCCCTGGGGACAAAGCCAGCTCCCAACGTGTATGGAACAACAGCATGACCTTAGAAACCAGCCTTTTCCAGCTAACCACCTTTATTAGAGGCACAAGTTACTTGGGGGCAGGAGGGATGGAGGTGCGGTACAACAGAGCCAGGCTCTGCTGAGGCCACGCTGAGCAGCAGGCACTCAGATTTTGTTTTTTTTTTTTTTAAAAATGGGGCCATGAAAAACAGAGAAAAGGGGGGGCAGGGCAAACGCAACCCAGCTCTGGGCAGCACCAGCTGCTGCTCCACCCGCTTTACGCATTCCCAGCCCAAGTGGTCCCATTGCACCCGTCCAACTCACCCACCCCACTCCTGCCTTGCATGGTGCCCCATGCTCAGGGAGGAGGAACTCCGAGCAAGGCAAGAGAACACCCGCGGATCCCAGCCCAGGGCAGCAAGGCAGCGCATTCCGGAGGAAGCGCGACTGGGCAGCGGGCGTATGAGGGAGCCTCGCTGCAGTGGAGCAGCAGCCCTGGCTGCTTGCCTCACTCCCCAAGCAGGAACGTACGCCAGTCCCCGCACCAACCCCGAGAGCAGCGAGCTACCGCGCTCTCTTGCGCGGGCGAGGGGGACGAGAGGGTTGTTCTCGCTGCTTAGGCGGGAGCTCTAGGGCCTCGCTGCGGGCCCGGGCGGCCAGGGAGGGCACATCCTCAGCAGCGATGGGCTGGATGATGTGACCCGCGCGGGTGACGACGTGCGGGGCAGTCAGCTTCTGGAAGGCACGCTGCGTGTTCCACGTGGGGCCCACGGGCGTGCGGATGCTGCGCTCAAACTGCTGGTGCTTCTCAAAGGGGAAAGGCAGCTCGCTGACCTGCAGGGAGACAGCACAGCTTGGGTAAGACACAGGCTGGTCCCCGCGCTGCCCTGGGGGCTGCTTTCACGCCCCGAGCACCTCGGCACAGCACTCGTGGCCACCCCACCTGATGCGCTGCTGCGTGGATGTTGCGCTGCTCACTTATGATGACGTGGGGCAAATGCTGGTCTTTCCTGGGAGGCGCCGGGGGCGGCTTGAGGAGGAACCTGCCGGACAGGGAGGAGGGACAGGGAAGGAGGTCAGGCCCTGGTGCCAGGCAGAGCCGCTTCGCCCCACCTCTCCTGCACTCACCGTTTCATTTTCCTTTTGCTGGGCTTCAGGCCTGTGCCTCCCCACTCGCCCCAGCCTGGCAGCACCAAGTTCACCGGCTGCGGCTTCCCAGCCTGCTCTGCCTTGCGCTTCTCCCGGCGGAAGTCGGCGACCACATCATCCCCTGCAAAGGCCTCTGTGATCACCCCTCTCTGGTCGATGTCACCCTCCTGTGGAGACAGAAGTCAGTGCCCTGCAGCCAGCCCTGCCCCGAGTCCCAGCAGGGACAGGCCAGCCCCCCTCACCTCTTCCTCCACGGCTATGGGGAGGCTGGGGCACTGGGCCTCCTGGGGCTTTCCAGAGAGCACAGCCTGCAAGCTGATGGTCTCCTTCTTCCTGGCCTTTCTTGGCTTCTTTGTCTGCCTAGTCTCTGCTCTGTCTTCCTCCTGCTGGTGCACTCTCTTCTCTGCTCCTGCAGCCACAGGTATTTCTAGCTCTTCTGCACGCTCTTCTGAAGCCAAAGCCTCAATGTCCTCCATCGTTTGCACACGGCTCGGCTGCTCTAACAGCAAAACCTCCTCCTGTGCCTGGGAAGGCTGCTCGATCCCCACACTCGCCTGTTCTTCAGGGCAGAAGGGGTCAACAGAGATGTCCCCTGGCAGCTCAGACACCAACTCTGTCTGATCAGCACCTACAGATGGAGACCAAGGGTGAGAAACAATCACCCCTGGGGCATGGATAGAGAGCAGGACATCTGTGTAAAGACACAGGCCCCACAGCCCCCGCTTTGCTGAGCCCCACAGTACACGGGAGCCCACACTCACTGCGTGTGAGGAGCGACTTGCCACACGGCTCGGGGCTGGCTGCCGGCTGGCGTCGCACGTGCCGCCTCTGCTCGAAGTCCTGCAGCAAGGCTTCCTCCTCCGACACCTCCTCCTCCGACATCCCCTCCTGGCTCTCTGCAGCCGCAGGCTCTGCAACATCTTCAAGGGCCTCCTGCACTTCAGGCTCCTTGGCTGGGCTGCTGGGCTTGCCCAACATCCAGGGATTAGTTCCGCCGGGAACAGTGGGGACAGACTCTGGCATGGGGTCCTCTGCAGGTGCGTCACCTGGCTCCTCCTCAGGCGGCTCCAGTCGCACTTTCTGCATCAGCTCCTTGTTCTTGGCCAGCTGCTCTTGCATGGCCTTGCGGGCCTGGAAGAGGAGAGGGATGTTTCCCACAGGCCACAGACAACACGACCCAGCTTGGTGCCACCCCAGACATCTCACCCTTTCCCAGCCCACATCTCACCTCCAGGTCGTATTTAGCCATAATGGCCCTGGAACGGGCCCACTTCCCCTTGTTCTGGTGCTTGAGGCTCATCCGCTCCTGCAAGACAAGGGAGAAGCATCAGGAAAAGCAGCCTCAGGGGCAGAAATCCCAAAGGATGAGGGAGAAGAGCAGAACCAGCACCTCCATCCTGAGTTGCTCCAGCTCTTCCAGCTTTGCCAAGGCTGCCTCAGGGTCAGACTTCCGCAGCAGCTCAAACTCCTTCAAAGCTTTGCGTTTCTTGCTCTTTTTCAGCACTCGATGGTACCTGCAGCACAAAGGCAAAGAGCCAGAAGTGAGAACTCAGGGCGCTGGGCATGCGCCCTCCAAGGCGGGCAGCAGCTTCCCAGCAATATTCCAAAATGTTGCCTGAGGTATCAAAGACCACAGGGGGCTTCTCTGCCTTCCTCCACGTCTCCCCAATCCCTCGTGCCCAGCAGCAAGGCCCCAGCCCTTCCCAAACCACACAAAGAACAGCAAAAGCAAAGCCTTACTTCTTGCTCTTGATTTTCTTCTCTCGACGAGCCTTGGCTTCGTAGTAGGACTGCAGCACTCGAGCCTTCTGCAGCTCCGCTCGCCGTTGCCGAGCCTGCAGGGAGCACGGAGTGAGGCCAGGCTCCCGGGAAGAGGCTTCCAGAGGCCGGAAAGAAAACACTAACCTCCTCCAAACTCATTGCCTGCAGCGAGGCTCTCTCCTGGGGCGTCAGCAGCGGGTCTGTGATGGGCTGATGCGTTTTGTGGAGTAGCCCAAAGATCTCCTGCTCCAGGGGAGTTCGGGCCTGTTGGGAGGGCAGAACAGAAAAGCAAGACCATGGTGAGGACGGAACCAAACATCCAAGCACCTTCCCAACTGCCCTAATCTTTCCTGATGCCACTGACAAGCTGCCCACAGATAAGTGAACCTCGCTTTGTCCCCGGGAGTCACGTTCACAGCCCTCCTCACAGTCCCACACAACAGCCAGAGGGTCACCGGGGTACGAGGCCACGTGTCTCATACACCCCTCCTGCCCTTCCTTCTGGTTAAAAAGCACAGCAGGCACTCAGTAGGTGATGCTACATGCAACTGAGGCAGCAAGGGAGCTCGCGGCTTGAAAGGGAGCCTCTGGCACCAGATCAAGGCAAGCGCTTCCTAAGTTGGGAGCTCGGTGAGATTTGCTTCCCACCTGGATCAACTGGATAGCTAGGAAAGCTCCCTGCTCTGGAATATGCTCTCCTGCCAAGAGGAATGCAGGGTCACAGCCCAAAGCATTATTCTTTCACAGGGAAATGTGTATGAATAGACTTGGAGAATCTGGCAGACCAAAAACCATCTCTGCCCTCAGCACAAGTGGCTGGGGGCTACTCATAGGGTGGGCAGCTTGACAGGGAAGTGAGGAAACATCACATCTCCTCCATGTCCTGAACAAAAGAAACACCAAGACGAGGAGACACAGCTTGGCCCAGCAGAGCACAGAGCAGCCTCTCAACCAGCCTGGCCTCCTTGCCCACCCTGGCTGCTCCCAGACAGCATCCACATGGAGAGCTTCCCTTTTACTGCTCTCAAGCTCCATATGCAGCTGCCCAGGCCTGACCAGAGCTGCAGCTCAGCCCTCCCTCATACCTGCGCGGCCCCAGAAGCCAAGCTCCCTGAGCAGACCCTTCGGAAAGCCGCAGGACAGTCGTGTGCTGCCAGCACCCACCTTCCAAGCCGAAATCGCTTGCTCCAGTGGTGCGACCGCTGCGATCTCCTGCTTCAGTGGGAACACCAGCTGCTCTGCTCGGCGGTTCTGCAAAACCACCTGCTGCCATTTGCCAACATCTTTAGAGCTCTTGACATAGGCGGCTTCTCTCAAGACCTGCAGGAACAGGGGCGAGAAAAGTATGAGCAGAGAGAAGGACTAGCCCTGAAGAACAAGAGAAGCCAGAGCAGAGGCGCTTGTGGACTCAGCCCTGCTGCCCCTCAAGGCCAGGGCTTCCTCCCTCACTGCTCTCTATGCTGCCTGTGCAGGCCTCACTTACCCGCTCTGCCTCTTCCTTGCTGAGCGGCAGCTCCACGGCCTTCTTTTGCTTCACTCTGGTCAGCTCATTCTTCACGCTGCTCAGGGCGGATTTGGGCTTGATGGGCTGCAAGAGCTCGGACAGAACCAGCTTCTCCCCAGCACCTAGACAGAGGCTGCAGGTCAGCGTGGGTGCAGCATCGCAAACCGAGCACCTTCGGGGCACAGCCGACCTCGAGCGGCAGAGCAGCGGCCGGGGGGAGGACTGGAGATCCGTGGCGCTCCCAGGAGCTCCTCTCACCTTTGCAGCTCACGTTGAACTCGGACACCTGCACACTTGCCTCTGTACGCTCTGCCAGCTTCCGCCTGTGAGGGAAGGAGGACAAATAAAAGGCTACTCTCGTACACCCCCGTGCTTCTCCCACCGCCCTTGTGGGGCTATCGACGATGGAAAAGGAGCCGAGCGCCCTTTCCAAGCACTCCCAACGCGGGCCCTCCCGCAGCGCCACACTCACCGCTTCTGCCCGGAGAGGGAGCTGACCGCCTC